ACCATGCTTGATGAGACAATCACAGGCAAAGTCAAGTTTGGTGATGACTCTCGTATTGACTTCAAGGGAAAGGGATCAATTAGCTTTGTCTTCACGAATGGTGCAAAGAAGACTATGTCAAATGTGTATTTCATACCGGCTCTCAGAAGAAACATCATAAGTTTGGGTCAAGCTACAGAAGCAGGTTGCGAGATCAGTATGAAGAAGGATGTACTGTACATGTATGATCGTGATGGGAGGCTGATGATCAAGAGCAACAGAGGAAGAAATCGACTGTATAAAGTTGTTCTCGAGGCTGAAGGTACCTCGTGTTTACAAGTGATAACGTCGAGTGAATCAAGCAAGTGTCATGCGAGGCTTGGTCACATTAATTTCGACAACATAAAGATGATGGTTGACAAGGAACTTGTAACAGGAATACCAAAGCTAGCAATCACAAAGAATACCAAAGCTAGCAATCACAAAGAATACGTGTGTTTCCTATTTACTTGGCAAACACACAAAGCGACCTTTTCCCCAAGCAACAAAGTTCCGAGCTTCACAGAAACTTGAGTTACTACACGGAGACCTCTGTGGTCCAATCAGTCCACCAACCATTGGTCAAAACAGATATGTATTTGTGATAATTGATGATCACACTCGCTACATGTGGACGATGTTATTAAAGGAGAAGAGTGAAACGTTTGAAAGGTTCAAGAAGTTTAAGGAAGTGGTAGAGCAAGAAACAGGAATCTCCGTTAAGACCTTTCGAACCGACAGGGGAGGAGAATTTACGTCACTGGAGTTCAATAGCTACTGTGAAGGGAATGGGATTCAGAGGCACTTGACAGCACCGTACTCTCCCCAACAAAATGGAGTAGTTGAGAGGTGCAACAGGACCATACTAGAGATGACGAGGAGCATTCTGAAACACATGGAAGTTCCTAATTATATGTGGGGAGAGGGTGTAAGACATGCTACTTATCTCATCAACCGCTCTGCAACAAGAAGCCTAGCCTCCAAGACTCCATACGAAATGTTTAAAGGGAGAAGGCCAAACATCTCACATCTCAAGGTGTTTGGATGTGTTGGGTATACGAGAGTAGAAGCTCCTCACAAGAAGAAGTTGGATGATAGGTCACGAGCGTTGGTGCACCTTGGAACCGAACCTGGAACTAAAGCTTATCGTCTCTTTGATCCAACAAGCAAAAGAATCATTGTAAGTCGAGATGTGGTTTTTATGGAAGAAGAAGGTTGGGAGTGGAATGTTGACAGAAGCGTTGCAGACTCATTGAGTATCAATATTGGAGAATTTGGAAACAGAGGACTTAGAGAAGTCGAGGTTAACGTGGGGTCCAAGGAAGGTACTGGTGCTGTGGTAACAGAAGTAACACACGAGGAAGTAGACAAGAGTGATGAGGTTGTTGACAAGGATATAGTGGAGATTTCTGATGACGAAGATGAGACCCAGGAAGAACCACAACTGAGACGATAAACAAGGGTCAAAACAACACCTGAGTACTTAAATGACTATATTTTGTTGGCTGAATCAGAAGGTGAATGGCTTCTAATGACAATGGATGAGGAGCCGTGGGATTTCTCAGAGGCTAAGAGTATGACTGTATGGGTAAAGGCATGTGAAGAAGAGATAGCTTCTATTGAAAAGAATCACACCTGGTCTCTTGTTGATCTACCAGCAGGAGCTAAAGCCATTGGACTGAAATGGGTGTTCAAAGTAAAGCGTAACCCAGATGGAAGTGTGAACAAGTATAAATCAAGACTCGTAGCAAAGGGTTATGTGCAGAGACATGGGATAGATTATGATGAAGTTTTCGCACCTGTTGCAAGGATAGAAACAATACGCCTCATCATTGCTTTGGCAGCTTCTCATGGCTGGGAAGTGCATCATCTTGACGTAAAGACTGCATTTCTCCACGGAGATCTCAAGGAGGAGGTTTATGTAAGACAGCCAGAGGGTTTTGAAGTCAAGGGGAGCGAGGAGAAGGTCTATAAGCTCTCTAAGGCACTCTACGGCCTTAAGCAAGCCCCTAGAGCCTGGAATTATAAGTTGAACAAGGTACTGAAAGAGTTGCTATTCACACGGTGTTACAAGGAGCCTTCATTGTACCAGAGGAAGAGGAATGATGATATTCTTATTGTAGCTGTTTATGTGGACGACTTGCTTGTCACAGGGTCAGATTTGCAGATGATAAATGAGTTTAAAGTGGAGATGGCCGCCAAGTTTGAGATGAGCGACTTGGGAAGACTTACATACTACTTGGGAATTAAAGTGCTACAACACGCAAACGGCATTACGTTAAGACAAGAAAGGTATGCCTCGAGGATTCTTGTTGAGACAGGCATGGATGGCTGCAACTCTATACATGTGCCGATGGATATGAACGTGAGATTGTCAAAAGTAACAGAGGAACGTGGAGTGGACGAAAAGAAATACAGGAGGAGCATTGGTTGCCTACGTTACTTACTTCACACATGTCCTGATCTATCATACAGCATTGGAGTCCTGAGCAGATACATGCTTGAACCAAAGGAATCACATGATGCGGCATTGAAACAAGTTCTAAGGTATTTGCGCGGGTCTCTCTCCTATGGTCTTACTTACAAGAGAGGAAACAGTGTAAGGTTATTAGGCTATAGTGATAGCTCTCTCAATGTTGATGTAGATGATGGAAATAGTATTACATGGCACATATTCTATCTCAATGAGAGTCCTATCACTTGGTGTTCTCAAAAGCAAGAGACGGTTGCTTTATCTTCCTGCGAAGCTGAGTTTATGGCTGCTACTGAGGCGGCAAAGCAGGCAATATGGCTACAAGAATTGTTAAGTGAGATTACCGGAGGCAAGTGTGAAAGAGTGACAATTCGTGTGGATAATAAGTCTGTGATCTCACTAACCAAGAACCCTTTTTTTCATGGACGCTCTAAGCACATTCATAGGAGGTATCATTTCATAAGGGAGTGTGTTGAGAATAGACAAGTAGAAGTTGAACATGTTGCTGGAAGCAAGCAGAAGGCAGACATTTTGACAAAAGGACTTGGGAGGATTAAGTTCAATGAGATGAGAGAGCTTATCGGTGTTCAAGATGCAGCACAAGCTAACTTCAAGCTTAAGGAGGAGAATGTTGGAGTAAGCTTGAAGTTGTTGAGACAAGAGTGAAGACTTGGAGAGTAAGCTAAGGCTAGTCCTAATCCGGTTGTTGAGGAGATAAAGATGGAGATGTTTTAGGAGATATCTATTAGCATATCATATCTTTATGTATACGGTTAGGATTATGTTGTTAGCTATATATTTGGATCCATCGAGTTATGATGTGATTGTATGAGTTTGAGAGAATCAAGGTTTGAGTGAGTTTTCCTTGAGAGATCAATATAAGAGAGTGAGTCTTATATCTTATTCACATACACAAAGAACAAACGTATATTCAGTTTTAACAGGTGGTACTCCCTCTTGTACAACGTCCTAACGTCTCCTAAATCCCGGGACATTATTAGTGTCTGCCTTTCATATTTGCTCTTGTTTTGAGTTGTGCTTTTTGTTGATACGATTTTGCTTAATTACGTTTTATGATGAATCCCGTAGATCTCTGACATGATAAGTAAACTGGAAATAGTTATGATTTTGATTCTCAAAAAACACTCATGATAGTTTAACATGAACCTGAAATAAGGTTTCTTCCTCAGAAAAGTAAGAGAAATGAAGACCAAAACAAAAGGAGAAGGCTAGGAGAAGAACCAAACACATATAATTCATAAAAATACAGAAACACACATAATTCAAAGATATGAAGATCACAACGTTAGTTTCATACTTTGTCTTCCATAGTTTTTTTTACTTTCACTTTGCAAATGGACCATGTCTTCCTTCCTCCCTACTTGGTAACTGGTACTGAACTGCATAGAAAGAATAATGTGTCAATAACTAAAAGATCCATCCATGCAATTTGGCACCCTTTAGTATACATCATTTCTGTTACAATAAGAAAAAAAAAAAAAACATAGTTAAGTACCTTGCGTTGCCCTTTTCTTTTTGTAAACGAGAATGAGAATTAAAATAACGCTGTAATAATGAACAGGGAAGCTGCTGATACAACAACTGAGAGAATGTAATTTTGATTGTTATTGTTGCATGACGCATCAGCTGAAAGCTTTGGGTTTCCTTGGTACCTTATAAAAACAAATGTTTCTGGATAAGACTTTAGCCTAAATAAAAGCTAACTGTGAAGAGTTTATGGAAAAACATGTGAAGATCTCACATAAGCTTTAGCCCATTCTTTTCTCTATCATGAACGGCTTTAGGGAGAGGACCCGTAAGATCATTCCAGCTCAAATTTCTGCCAAGGCAGAGAAAGAATTACATTGAAAACATTCGAATCTAGTAAAAATGTAAGTGGCTGATTCAAGATTGTTTAATTAAATCGCTTACATGATCAGTAATGACTTCATTCTGGCTATAAATTCGGGCACTCCTCCAGTAAAGGTGTTATTTGACAAGTCCCTAGCAGCATTTTTAAGGACTTTATTCTATATTGCCCCACTCATTCCCATCTTCATTTTATTTTAACCAATCATAAATTTGATTTTTTTTTCTTTCTCAAAATCAAAATGCGATTAAAACATCCATAACCCTTAATGAATTAGTATTATATGTAATATGAATTACTAGAAACTACTTTGAATTACTGGAAACTACCTTGAATTACTAGAAACTACTATGAACAAAAAACAAACTACCTTGAATTACTAGAAACTACTACGACCAAAAAAAAAAAAAAGTGGGGCAGTGAGAAAAATGGTGGGGGTAATGAGAATAGTTATTTTCCAACTGGGGTATATTAGAATACTTTCCCATTTTTAAAATGTAAAAAGTCATTCTGTTTTTTTTTTTCTTATTTATAGGCTAAATAATTCAGTTGCTTTTGTATCATTTTAGTTAAATTAATTATTATAAGTATTGCTTTATATTTTCACATATACATAAAATATGAATAAGTTTCTCCATCTCACTCATACATACATATTCTGTGCATTAGTGATGGTATGATCGCATCCTATAATTAATATTTCTAATATGTTATATCTACATTATGACACACAAGACACAACTACGTTTGTTATGAAAACACAACTAATATAAAATATCTAAACTTATTAAAAATCAAGGTCAAGGTCACACACAAATACATATGTATAGATGATGATGATGATGATGATGATGATGATGGTACACGTATCTCAATTATAAGAAAAGCCACAAGAATTGTCAGTCAACACAACATTAAAAAAAAATTGCATGCCTTCTTGTACCTTATTTTAGTTAAACAAACAACAATATATACATTAATGCAACTATTTTTCCTATCTTATAAAAAGTGACTATTCGACAACAAAAAAAAAAAAAAGACAAACGAAGCAATATGCTCTTTTGTACCGCTAGATCCTAGATGGATTGACTATTTAGTAGATCTACGATAGGTGGACGTAATTATACGATTATTTGTAATATGTTAGGATTTTCTAATGAACATGATGAGTGGATAACGTAATAGACAAAAAAAAGGTAATAGACAAAAAAAGGTAGTAGGGATTTACAGGTTTTGAAGCTCAGTCAAATTTTGAAAGGTAGGGGTTATCACTCCTTTTAATCCAAGTGATGATAAATCTCTGTTGAAAGGTAGGGGTTATCAGAACAATTTTAAAGTATTAAATACTTTTAGAAATTTGATTTTTAAACATGAGAAAAAGTGAGATAGTGATCTTACAAGGAAATAATTCTTGGAGGAATAGACTTGCTTGTGTAGCTGCACTTTAGACCTTCCCATTTCAACACTGCAGGAACGCACGGATCTCCCTGCCAACTTATCATCTTTAATCCATAAATAGCTTGAATATTCTTCATAGCATCGACTGGAACAGAGGCAAAAGAGCAAGTCAAGAATTAGCATGCACAATAACAGACGTTTTCTAATCGTTCTAGACAGTATACATATATGATAGTGACATACCATCGTTTTGATTCGTCTCAGCATATGGAAATTCCAAAACCTCGAATGCCTCAATAGCATTAATCAGTGGTGGAAGAGTTGATCTTTGAGTTTGTATGAGGTCCAAGTCGCAGGAGGAGCTTATGCATTGCTGTGGCGATATGTTGTATATTGTTTCCGATTGTAACACCTTAGGAGTATAAGCTTTTCGGATAATAGTATCATCCAAAAAAATGTCGAATTCCCTAATATCATTTGCTTTTAAGACTTGGATCTCGGCAAAATGAAAGTATACATTAATTTTTCCACTTTCTTGTTCTGGGGACGCGTAAAAGGATAGTTTCCTACTGGAATTTGTAGGAGAAATTCCAGACCTACTTACAGCATCTGGTACTGCAAAAGGACTAGATGAAGTTACATTGAGAGTTGTGGTTACATTTGTTCCTAACCAGTCACTATACCGTTCCCACATGCGATCAAGGACATCATCAGGATATCTGAAAAGAGTTTAACCATGCAAATTAATTAGGTTAGAACATCATTAAAAATACCCCATCCAATCTCACAGTTAAAATAATAAAAACTAGGATTACACCCGCGCAAGGCGCGGGATGAGATGATTAAATTTGTTGTATTTTTGAAGATAAGAAGATATTATATCTGTTTTATTTGCATATTAGTTTATTTTGGATTGGTTGTTTCGGGATAACCCGCACCTTGCATGGAATGAAATATTTAATAAACATAGATTGGAAATTTATGAAGTTATAATAATTTTGTTAAAAGATACTCCTTCTGTTTTTAAATAAGTGTTATTTTGACTATTTGCACATAAATTAAGAAAATTGTATAATAGACTAATATATCCCTATTTAATGTATGTTTAATTAAATGAAAATAATTTAAGTAAAATACTATTGGTTATTCAAAAGGGTAAAAAATAGATTTAATGTACAAAATTACATTGGGATTGTAGAATGATACTTTTTTTGAAACAAAATTAAAAGGCTAAAGTGACACTTATTTAGAAACAGAGGGAGTATATAGTTTACATTTACGGGACGTAAAAAAAATTTAGGACGTTTATTTTTATTTTGAGTTAACATTTCTATATGTGTCTACATTTGATAAAAAAAAGTAACTGATTTTATATCATATATATAAAATTACACTTCAAAATTTAGATTATAAACATAGATTATAAATTTATGGTTGTTTTTCGGGTAGTTTCTTAATATATGTCAAGACACGTAATATGGAAAGTTTAGAAAATCTGTTTTATGAATTTGGCAATATTTTTTGTGAGAAGCATTTTGGAAGCGACACGTCAGTATTGTCTAAAATTGCAATGTGAACGCATTTAATGCAAAATGCTTCTCTTATAATATATAAGGGATAAATAGAAAAGAAGTGAGAGACCTCAAAAGACTTAAAAATGAGACTCCAATGTGATTTGTCATATAAGTGGTTTATTCTTCTAACCTTTTAATTTTATTGTATTATTAAATGATATTAAAAAGTAATGGTGAGATGTTCGATACTCTTGCTGAACAACCTAAAGCCTATCATAAATGAGAACTTTCATCAATGTTCTTGGGATATAGAATGGCTGAAGTGAACATTACATACCGTAATAACCGGAATAATCGTTTGTATATCTCTTCCTGAATAATAGGTTCAAGGGACCTAATTGCGTCATATAAGAGTCGTTTCTTAGGGTCCGACTGGTTTCCCCGCTACCACCCGCAAACGCAGCTTTTGCGGTTGATGGCGGTTGTTAGCGTTTTGCAACAATCACAAAACCGCTACAAATCGCTTAAAACCGCTCCCAACCTCTTAAAATCAAAAGCTGGTTTCAGCTAACGTTTGCGTTTGCGGGCGATTGCGGGTGGGTAAAAAACTATTTTTTAATTTAAAATTAAAACATAAAAATAAAAATAATATAACTAAAACTATATCTACCTTTTATTTTTTAATTTAAATTCACTAAAAATATCATAATCTATTTATAAGAACTTTAAATCAAGAATTTTCACTATATTTTTCAATATTAAATATATAAATATATAAATATATAAATATATAAATATACATATATAAATATAAATAGATAAATAGATAAATATATAAATACATAAATATAATTAATATAATTAATTATATTATATTATATTATAATATTTTATTAATTATATAAATTATATTTTCATCTAAATAAAAAAAAATAATACTGTTATTACTTATAATATATTAATAGTTATTATTTTTTATCATAACAGTATGTTTTGATATTTTTATAATGTTATAATATGTTAATATTGGAAATTTATTATTGAACCGCTGTAGTATCTCATAATCAACCAGTCATAAATGTCCCGCAAACGCACCAGTTTTTAATCGCTGTACCAGTCGTACAAATCGCCTAATAACGCTAGAAACCGCAACCACCCACATCCGCAAACTCCCGCAACCGCAATCGGAACCACCGCGTTTCAACCAGTCAGACCCTTAATGGCCGTAGTTCCAAGGTTGATATCACTGGTACAGTTTCTCCTGTCTTGATAAGACAAATCTGCAATAAGTTTGACTTTGACATGTATATGATTTCAGGAAATATATTGTATCCCCTAGCCATTGAAGTCCACATATTAGGCCCTATGTGCATATCAAATTTGGGTAATGTATTAAGGCCATCATAATTTCCATATGAGAACCCAGCCCTAATTAGATAGTTGATTCCCTTGTTTACTGTCAAATTATAACAGTTTCGGATTCCATCCGGAAAATATCTCAGATATTTTAATTGCTTGTAGGGATAACCTCCATCATTCTCAACTTCACCAGGCTTACCACTTTGGATGAAATCAGCATCAGATAAGAATGTTAATCCGGTTACTGGGTCAGTATACGGAGACTCACTAGGGGGTAAACCACAGTCCAAACTGATAAATCCTGAAGAAACACAAAATTTTAGTGTAAATAATGATTTGTTCTTTTCAATTTAATATATGAATCTCAAGTAAAAACAATAACGAAAATACTGAAAAGGAGAAAAAGTTCAAATGTAAATATCTGGGATCCATAGTCTATTTATAGCCTTCACGTGATTTGTATAATGACCATATTCTTACAACTAGAAAAACTTCGGTGTGGGAAATTACTTATCAAGTTATCATTCATCATTTGTGTCAAAAGTGAACATGAAACATTTGAGATTTCTTAACATGTATTGGAAAACTACCTTTTTGATCAGGTTGAGCTTGAACGAGATGTATAATAGCAAAAGCTCCCAAGCTCCATGCCAATACCAGTTTGCTATGATATTCCATATTCAAGTTACCTTACAAACTTTCAGTACGAAACAGTATAAGTATATGAGAGATTTATATACTGTTTTTCAAATACGAAAAAAAAATACGTACCTTTTTAAATATATGTTGGTATGGAAAATTCTCCAGTTAATCTCTTCATGTTAGTCGCCCCCAGCACGTCTCACCTGGATCTAACAAAAAACATATACTACATTTATTTATTACAATTTGTGAAAAAGGTAAATATTAAATCAAACCACCTGATATTATCTTTTTGTTTTAACAATGTAAACCCTGCCAAGTTGATCTTAATTCTGTCTAAAGCTCCATAATTATATGATAATTCCACCAACGACTTCTATTTTATAACAAGGTGTTTTCATTTATTTAGTTAACCTTAATCATTCGCTATATACTATATAGACATACAGTATAAAATTATTGGTGTTGGAAAATAAACTAGGATCAGCATATACATGTACCCTGAGAGTTAGAGGGCAGAAATGTAACAATTACACAAATAAAATTTACGTTACTTCTATGATCTGCAATATATTGAATTTTCAGCAGAATATTCCGGTTGAAACCCGTACATACTCCAAACCAGAGTTTCAAATGTCACTTGATCCTACAATTCTTAAGTTTCACCTTTACCGTTATCTAGGATCCAGTCAAGTTCTTCTCTCTCATTTTGCTTTTCAACAATAAAAAACAGCTACCCAAATAAGAGAGAAAATTCTATGACAACTTGGGCTATGCTTTAAGATTCTTGTAGACATACATAATGTTTATTCAAGGATTCATACCTATTGTTTATATAGAATCTCTTTTCTTGGATGACACGTACAAAACCAAACAACAATAATTACAAAGACAGAGAATAATGTCAATTATGTGGAAAATCTGGTAAGATTAGTAAGGGAAGTATAAGAGCTCGGTTTTAGATGGAGCTTGGCGCTCAATGGCACGAAAGTTTCTCCTTGCACCATGGCGTGAATCAAACTAATGAAATCCTTTTTCTTGCTTAATTTGCTAGATCGCTACCAAGGAATTCAGCGAGGTCTCTTGTTCAGATCCAGGAAGGCCGCCTTGCAGATAATACGTCTTCAAAAACAAGTTAGCTATGCATAGAATATCGTAAAAGATCTATGCATACATGTGAATTAACACTGACCAATTTCTAATCTACTCAATCTTATCTTATAATCAAGTTTCTGCCTTGTTCAATCTCACACAACTCTTTTCTTTTTGTGAAACGAAGCTCTCTAAACTAGTCATAGTTAATATCTAGCTAAACTTTGTTTGGCCTCGATAACTTTGAATACCTTCATTATTATTCTGCTGTAGTATTTTGTAAAATAAATAACTTGTTTGTGTTACTCCTACATCAGCCCCATTATAATGGACAGTCACTAATAACTTGGGTCCTTTCCTAACAACTTGAAAAAGTTATTAACTGATATATAAGACTTTGATTTCAACACCAGTAGAGACGTGCTAGCAATTTTTTTAATTCTCGGTCGGACATATTTATTGAAGAACTTTCCACACCCAACGTGTTGAGTACATATATGTTCTAAAATTATAATTTTATCCCACTTGGCCACTTTGGCCTTCTTTCTATTTTTGATTCTTATTTTCGTCTCTTTATTCGTTCATATGCTTCCCTTCCGACGGTTTCATTTTCCCTGAGTTCATACACATATAAAATGGAGGGTCATTTTGATATTAAAACATTTGTTCAATAGTACACCTTGTCATGCTAAGAATCCAGAAGGTAATATCTCCACCAGTGGTACTGATTACGCATACTACACTGTTTAAACTGTTTATCTGTCAGAGAATCAACAGTGCTAAAATCTCCATTTTTAATACTTAATTTGACCCTTTTTCCCTTGAGTCTTGCCATTCTTAGCTTTTTTTTTTCTTTTTTTTTATAACACTGACACGTAAAAATATTCGAGACAATACAAAATGATAGAGAATCATAAGAGAAAAAGAAGATGTCAGTAGACATCAAAACAAAAAGGAGAAAGAATTTCACCCAACCGTTAAATGCTGAGCTTCCAGAGTGAGCAGATGGTGTAGCCATACGGGAGCATTGCTGGCGATATAAGACTGGTGGCGGTGATCGCGAGTGACACTTATAGCAATAGCGTCAGCAGCTTCATTCCGTTCTTGGAGTGCGTGATCTAGACTCCAGAGAGCAATCTTGGATAGCAGAAAGCAGACATTGTGGCGGACA